TTGGTTTACAGCTTTGAACAAGTATTGCCTTTATCACTATTTTAAGTAATTTTATTTTTAAGTGCAGAATGAAAAGGATACTTTTTGTGTTTTTTTCCTGTTGGGGTGCCAATCGTGAGAGCCCGAGTTTTGGCTGTCGATTCCGTCTCCCCAGCTGTCTGTATGAGCCACAAATTAATGCCAGCCATTATCACGGAATCCACTTTCATGCCCCTCACCCCGCTGTCCTTATTTGTCCTTGATTGCCTCGAATAGCGAACAAAAAATATAAGTATACTATATATATACAAGTGTATATATGTATATCTGAAAAACAAAAGCCTCCTTTGGCCGGTGTTTCGAATGATTTCTGTTTGCCTCCGCTAGATTCCTTGCGTGCCATGACACTCTGCCACCGGTGTAAATATTTGTGACATAATTAAGCAACCCAGCACCGAACGGAACCGGGATCGGGGATTGGGGATTGGGGGTGGGGGAGTGCGGATCCGGGATCCGAAGGCATTATCAAATCGGTCGGGGGCACACAAGTTGCAAAGCCGAAAATAAAGCAAACATCGGCGCTTTCAGTGGAGAGCGCTTTCGCCACGCGCGTGATTAAATTTCATTTGTGGACCCAACCAAAACGGAACCCAACTGACTGACTGAGTCCTTAGTCCTTAACTCGCCGTATTTACCGTCGTTTTAGTGCCTCGCCTCGCTCGGGTTAGTCGGAAAAACGCCACTTTTCCCCTTCCCCCACCGCGCTTTTCCCTCGAGTGCGTGTGTTTGACTTGGATTCGCATTAAGATTGTCAAAGATTTGGCCGCCAGTGGGGAGCCACTCGAACCGTTCACTTTGTTTCGCTTGGTTTACCTGAAAAAAAAGAAAAATAAAGAGAAATCCCCGAAAACGCCAAAAACGCTCGGGGAGCAATTTGGAAGATTTTAGGCGGCGATTTATCGCTCGGCTCCTGAGTGGGTGCCACCGATACTTTGAGCCCGGAGATAGCAGATAGCAGTCTATTCTGCCGGCTCACCATCAAGTTAATTTGAATACGAGGGCTGCCAAAAAGAAAAGGTTGTTCAATGTCACCGGGGCTTTGCTCGTCTATCCGCCATGCGATTCCAATTCAGCGATAGTGCACGGAATTAATGGATGTTCGGATCCCACCTACATGCACATGTCCCTCCTCCACTGCCTGTGTCCTTATCGACATGAACAACAATGGCAGCGGCACTAATAAATTCTGGCATTAGGCCTCCTTTCAACTGGGGGCGTGGCCCCAAAGCCGGGAATATTACTTGACATCAGGAGAGTGCTTCGGCGAGTCGTAAAAACTTTGTTGCCTACTTCACGGGGCAATTCTACGTTTCGACCGCAAATACATGCAAACTTCCGTACAACTTTAAGAACCTACAAAAAAAAAAATAAATAAAAAAAAAATTATTTATTTATTGGCAAAAATTCTGACTTGAACAGGGGTCAAAAATTCACCATCACTAAAATAAAAAGTTCGTTCAGGAATTTCATCAGAAACGTTTGGAGGTATGCTACTTTGGAATCAGATTAAAATTGAAAAAGTTATGGGACAAGGAAATGCCATTTTTTGCCATTTTTTGTCACTTTTTGGCAAACCATTGGAAACTTAAAAAATTCTGACTTGAACAGAAATTCGACCACAACCAAAATAAAAAAAATTTTGACGCAGATCGTTCAGGAATTCCTTCAGAACCGATTAGAGGTACGCCACTTTGCAATCGGATTGAAATTGACGAAGTTCTGGGCTCAGGAAATCTGGTTTAAAGTAATTCATTTGGCCAAATTTCTTGGTTAAAAAAAAAAAAAAATTTAAGAATTGATTTTCCAAACTTTGAGGCCAAGAAGTTTGACTGTAGCTGTCATCTCCTAGTATTTCCTATTCCCCTCTGCTTTGGGTGCCAGTTGGCAGGCAATTTCAATAAACACATCGACTCGTCTCGCAAGTTTTAATAATTCAATAGGCAACAATGCGACATGGAAAATCGCTCCATATAATTACGGATCGCATAAAAATTCAAGAAATGGCCGGCGGCTGGCACTTTATTGAATGTCTGCTGAACACGAATTGCCTATTCGGTTTTCTTGACTTCAATTTAAATTCAAAGTCTGTTATTGCAGCTGTCACAGATACAGATACAGATTCAGCCAACAAATGTGGCCATGAGTGGGGCCTGTGGCTGAGTCTGATTCTGATTCTGACTCGGAATCGGAATCTGAAATGTTATGTTGTGATTTGGCGTGGTTCGATGCTGCAGTGGGTCTGCGTCCCAAATCAATTCCGATTGTATAGACGAAACGCCATTACTTCGGAGGGAATTAATTTTTTGGGCCACCAAAAGAGGACCCCGGGGAATTCGAAATTAAAATGCTTCGCACTGCAAGCTTATGAAATTCGGTCTGAAATTAACAACAACCTCATTTTCGCATTCATGCTGAGCACGATTTGCCGACCGCTTTTCCGGGAAATCTCTCGTGCTGCCAACTCCTCCATCAAGTTGGCATGCCCGCATATAAATGCAGAAGGGGCATTTGCTTAACTTTCATGAGGCCATTCAATGACTTAACCATTTCCATCCCGCTGCCTTTTCCAGCCACGCACGCACACAATTGCCAGCTAACTGAAAAGGGTCAAAAGGTTTTTCACACATACAAATTGCTGGCCTGGTCGAAAGCATTTTACATAGAGGCCAGACTTGGCTTTTGCCCAGCTTTTAGCAGCAACCTTTAAGGTTGCCTCAATTAAATTTCTCGTCCCAGACACAAAAAAAAAAGAGAAAACCCCAGAAAGCTGCAGGGCACCTCCCACTTGTTCATATGAGTTTGGCCTCCACTGGAAAAATAAAAGTGATGGAGGCTGAACTATTTGTATAAAAAAATTCGTTGCTTTTTGTAACAAAATATTTATCTAAATATTATTGTAACTTTAAATGAACATTCTTCTTTACCGCAATGTACTTTAATGGTTAAATACCAAACGTCAGAGTTTTCATATGAAAATCTATAAAAGAAACTCTAATTTAAATTGAACTTTTCACCGCAGTGTACACATATTTTCCGTGTTTTTCATTTGGTTGGCCTGTTTTTATGCCAGCTTTCGACCCGTGCTCGCATTTGACTTACTGCACATCAACAGCCTCATCAGGCTGGCGAATAAGTGAAAAAAATGTTTGCTTTTTTAGCAAGAGAGGCGAGTGAGAAATGTGCCAGGAAATTGTGCTAAACAGCTAAACAAAAAGCGCAGAAAAGACGCTGCCTCTGCTGTTTCTGCCGTTTCTGCAATGTGGCTAAAGAAAACATAAACCATAAACGTGTCAGAGTCGGCTCAAGTTATGTTTTTGGACCTTGTTTATAGAGGGGGTAGATGGGGAGGGGGAAAGAGGGGGTGGTGGTAAGATAAGCCAACAACAGCAGGCAGCAGAATTTATGGCGTACGCGGCCCGGAAATGAGCAGCCAGAATGTTGGGGCAAGAGGCACGCGTCCTTCGTCCTTCTCCGCTCGATTGGCTGCAGACCAGATCCAGTTTTACTCCCTGATGTTGACAGGTGATAATCGGGAACGACAGCTCAAACGTAACCAAGTAACAAATGGTATAGACCGCCTCAAAGGAGCACAAATTTGTAAATGAAGCCGCTTTTTAAAGGCTCAATTAAGGTTCTTGATGAGAAGGCAATGTGGCAGCAAATTTGCACATTATTGTGCGGCGTCACCAGGTAAAGGATGTTCTGGGGATTTAAGGTATTAGGGCTTATGCAAAGGACATTCAGATGACTACACAATGTCTTTTTAATCCTGTGCAGGAATGGAATTCATCTGAAATGTGGAAAAAAAAACAAAAGCTATGAAGTTTCCCGTTCCCTTTAAAGTGAAAATCCTAAATCCCAAGGCACTTCAATGAAACCGAATATTTCCGAAATTCTTTCCGTTTAAATGAAACCTTCTGAATGGCGAGTGCCAATGACAGATGTGCAGAGCTCCAAGGACCTTAATGCAGCAAGGATTCGCAATCAGGGGCCAGTGCAATCCAAGCTGAAGAAACAGTCGCCGGCTGTTTACATTAAGTACGGAGCTTAGCAATCAACTCGCGCCGACAGAAGGCAGGACTTCAGGACATTGGGACTCCGGGACACCGGGACTCTTGAATAATGCGGCGCACAGTTGTTGACTTCCTCTGTCAAATTCCGTTGACAAAGGCAGCATCCTTAGTCACTTAGTCATTCGCCCGACCGGAGTGGATGGAGTTCAAGCTCCTGGTGGTCGCACGCCTGACTTCCTGCCAGCCTCAGCACTCGAAATGTAATTTAATTTGTTTATTTGTGTGGCACTCGCCTCCTCCGCAGGACCTCCTTCTCTCTCTCTCTCTCTCTCTCTCTCTCCCAGTCGTCCTTAGTGCTGCTCCAGCTGGCGTGTCTGCTTGCCAATTAATTGTGCACCTTTTGGGGCCGCAAGCAGCAGGTGAGCAGGTGAGCTGGTGAGCAGGGGAGGCCTTCCCGATTTCGAGGCAGCCCAAAAAATCCTCTAATTAATGTGTTTGTTTAGCTTTTGTGCCCGGGAAATTTGCTTAACTCGGTTACCTGTGGATGCGAAAGTCAACATTTTAATTGAATGAAATTTATAGCCCGTGCCGAGAGCATTCAATTACATTACAATAGCTTCATTAGGCTGGCGAAAAGTTTTGCCAGAAAGAAACGAAGCGTCACTCACATAATCTTAACTCGATTAGCAATTAAAATCAGAACTTGGTACTAGGCCAAGATAAGAGTTTATAGCAGAAAAGTATTCTGTGAAGGAAGAATTTAATTTCATGGATAGACATTTTTGAAAGTCTCAAATGCAGCATGAATGTATTTTAGAAAATCATAAGGCCTTACATAATTTAGCTGGGATAATCATAGCTCTCGAAAATGTGTAGCACCCTAACTTTGTCTTAAGTTGGTCCGGATTGCATTGTGTTCACCAGACTCTCCGTCTCTTTTTCCGACAGCTTGACAGCCTGGCGGCGTGTCCTGGCCAAGGACATGAAAATGCGCTTCATTAATTTGGCTGGCAGCCGCGGACTGTCTGAGGGAAATCATCAGCAGCAGAAGCAGCAGCAGCAGCAGGCGGAACAGGATCAGGATCTGCCGGCGAAATTGGAACAGGAACTGAAAGTGGCAACGGGATTCGCGTCAGCTGCAGCGACACAGCACTGAGTTGCAATGGTGGAGGACAATGGGTCGCCGGAAGTGGAAGGAGCGGAAGGAGCCATCGCGCCCCTTTTGGCGCTACTCCGGATGGATGGCCTCAATCAGACGCAGATGCAGACACCGTCGACATTGCCTTCGCAGCCATTCTTCGGCAGCTACAACATCTCCGAGGACGTCTACTTCTACTTCAATGGCTTGCCCACGAGCACGGAGCTCGTCCTGAATGCCACGGCCACCATCGGCACCTCCACGCTGAGTCCTCTGGCCGCGGTGACGAGTGGCAGCGGAGGTGGAGGCACCACCACGCCGGAACCCGATCTCTCCGAGTTTCTGGAGGCCCTGCCCAACGACCGAGTGGGTCTGCTGGCCTTCCTCTTCCTGTTCTCCTTCGCCACGGTGTTCGGCAACTCGCTGGTCATCCTGGCCGTCATCCGGGAGCGGTATCTGCACACGGCCACCAACTACTTCATCACCAGCCTGGCGGTGGCTGATTGCCTGGTTGGGTTGGTGGTCATGCCCTTCTCGGCGCTCTACGAGGTCCTCGAGAACACCTGGTTCTTCGGCACGGACTGGTGCGACATCTGGCGATCCTTGGACGTGCTCTTCAGCACCGCTTCCATCCTGAACCTGTGCGTCATCTCGCTGGATCGCTACTGGGCCATAACGGATCCGTTTAGCTACCCGATGAGGATGACCGTGAAGCGGGCCGCCGGACTGATAGCCGCCGTGTGGATCTGCTCGAGTGCCATTAGTTTTCCGGCCATCGTTTGGTGGCGAGCGGCGCGGGATGGGGAGATGCCCGCGTACAAGTGCACCTTCACCGAGCACTTGGGTTACCTGGTCTTCTCGTCGACGATATCCTTCTACCTGCCGCTGCTGGTGATGGTGTTCACCTACTGTCGCATCTACCGGGCGGCCGTGATCCAGACGAGGTCCCTGAAGATCGGCACCAAGCAGGTGCTGATGGCCTCCGGCGAACTGCAGCTCACGTTGCGCATCCATCGCGGTGGCACCACCCGCGACCAGGCGAATCAGGTTTCGGGAGGAGGAGCAGGAGGAGGGGGTGGTGGAAGTGGAGGAGGAGGCGGAGGAGGAGGTGGCGGGGGAGGAGGATCTCTGAGCCACTCCCACTCGCACTCGCACCACCATCACCACAATCACGGCGGAGGAACGACGACGTCCACGCCGGAAGAGCCCGACGATGAGCCGCTATCCGCTCTGCACAACAACGGATTGGCCCGCCATCGGCACATGGGCAAGAACTTCTCGCTCTCCAGGAAGCTGGCCAAGTTCGCCAAGGAGAAGAAGGCCGCCAAGACGCTGGGCATCGTGATGGGCGTGTTCATCATCTGCTGGCTGCCCTTCTTTGTGGTCAACCTGCTGTCCGGGTTCTGCATCGAGTGCATCGAGCACGAGGAGATCGTCTCGGCCATTGTCACCTGGCTCGGCTGGATCAACTCCTGCATGAATCCTGTGATCTACGCCTGCTGGAGCAGGGACTTCCGCAGGTAAGGATCATGATGGTAGTACCAAAAAACGCAGTTGAAATTGATTTGGAAAATGGTTAAAGAAGAAAGATGGAGGAGCAACCTCAAAACCACTAGAAGTAGATATAGAGTCTGCTATTGATTGGCATTTGACCTGCGTTTTTGGGGCCTCTAAATCCTGTGCTTCACCCTGCGGACATGTTTCCTAACTGGCTTCGCCTCTCCTTTTTTTCAGAGCCTTTGTGCGACTGTTGTGCATGTGCTGTCCTCGCAAGATTCGCCGCAAGTACCAGCCCACGATGAGGTCCAAGTCGCAGGTGAGTGTCCCTATTCCCCCTCCCATTCCCATCCGGATTTCAGTTCAGCGAACGCGATTCGATTTGACTCACTTTCTCGCTTTTACGGTCTGGGAAAGTTCGCAGTTATCCGAATTTTCCCCTCGGCTGAGTTGTTGTTGCATCCACTCTTTTGGCGGGCAAACAAAAACTGGTTGATGGAAATCGCTTTCATGAATTACGTGCTGCCGGCCGTCTGCACTTTTGTATGCTCCAAAAACGAAACTCAACGAACGGCAAAATTAATTCACAAATTTAATGAATATGCAGAAACAAAAAAAAAAAAGGAGAAAGAAAACTGACATTTACCACTCGAGTTGCCCCCTTAAGCCCCATTTTTCTGGCCACGACTTCCGTTCACACACGGCAGACAACCATGGAAACTTCCTGCCATCCTCACATTTGCGAACCCCTGCATAAATCATTCGAGGGGCGCATCACTCAACCTGTCGACCCTCGACCCTCCACCCTCGACTCTCGACCCTCAGCGTGATTTTAATGAATAATTTTCTAATGTTTGGCAACTCTGGCTGCACCTGAGCACAGGAGCATTGCACCCAGAGTTCGCTGATGGAGAAATCCACTGTCGCCCTCGCTGGGACTTACTGTCAATAGGGTCCGTGAGTAATTAGCCTGGAGTCGCGTATTTGCCTTTCGAAATTACAGTCGAACTTGTCCAAACTTTTGCCTACATTAAGCTGCCAGACGGGATTAATTCTGAGTTGGTAAACTAATTGCATTATTCTTGTATTTAATGAGCAGATTTGGTGATGTGCAGTCTAGCAATATTATACTAATTAATTTTTTAGATTTTCATGAAGTATTCAAAATTTAAGAAAACATAATTTGGAAAGTAAACATAAAAAATAAAATTTTTCGATTTAATTTATTCAAGTTCTACTGTAATTTAGGCAATTTCGTAACCCATCAGAATCACTTAAAGTGTCAACTCCCCGAAATGGAGGCCAGTCCCAAAATATCTCATGTCATCACCGCATTAAAGTCCTCGCAGTCATTATCGTATTCACCTCGGGCCCATATACATATATAGTACACCAGTTTTATATATAGCACCGTCTTGTCTGGCGAATCTGAAGCTGATTGTGATTCCGGCGGCGTTCTTGATTTTGCAGAGATTCGCGACGCGGCGCTGCTACTCAACCTGCTCGCTGCACGGCATTCAGCACGTGCGACACAACTCCTGCGAGCAGACTTACATATAGTTTAGCGTAGATTTAGTTGACAATGATTAAGGCGCCCGCTCCGGTCCGTTACAAACAGCCCCGCCCCCTTTACGCCCTACGTACGCTTTGTCCGCAAGTCAATGGCAAGGTAAGCGACTTGTGACTTTGAGTCCTCTGATTCTCTCTTCGTTCTCCGTTCTCCGTTATCCGTTTCTCTGTGTGTGTGTTCCTTTCAAAGTCACATGCACGAGTATAAAGAATGGGGGATAAACACAAGCATCATGTCCCGTTCTTTGGATGCTGCATCTGTTACTGTCGCTCTCGGCTGTTGCCGTCTCTGTCTGTGACTGCTCTGTCTCACTCACTCTTGTTTGTTGACTCGACCATTGTTGTTTGTATCCTTGTTTCCACCTTGTTTTGGTGTTTTTTTTTTGTTCCTGAAATCTCTTGATACCTAACTGTTTTATGCTGAAAAGTAGGCAATGGAAAAGTTAACTTTTCATTTTTTTTAAATTGAAATTTAAATAAATTAAACATTTTTAAAGATATCATTATTTCAAGAGATTTCAGGAACACCCCATTTTTATTTTTTCTTGGTTTGCTTACTTTGCCGCAAAAGAACACGAAGCAAAAACAGACTCTGATTCAAGCACCTGTTGAATGTGTTGCACCTAAACACACACACACGCGCGCACACACACAAAGACACAAACAAAGATGTCCACCCACGTAAAAAAAAAGAAAGATGGAAAATGTCCCTGGGCACCAACACCTGAGACCGTCTCCTTTTGATGATGTTGTTTTTGTATGTTGTTGCAGACAAGCTGAATAAAAATGAAAAGAGCACAAACAAAGAAAAAAAGAAAATCGAAAGTTTTTACAAAGTCTCCGGGCACACATACACACACTCACTCACTTTCACACACACTTTTTGGCACACTTGCAGGACACAATGTCCTTTCATCGTTTTTGTCACCGTTTCCGTTGCTGTTTTTGCTCTCCATGTTCTTGCTCTTGTTGATGTTGTTGTTGTTACTGTCGCTGTCGCCACTCACAAAAGATTTTCCCAGTGTACACAATGGCGAACAAGGAAAAACCGAAACACAAGCTCCGTTCTCTCATAAAGTGTTTGTTGATTTTTTTATACCCGCTCCTGGCAGAGAAAACTGGTATATATGATTCAGGAAAGCAGATGAAAAAGGCTAAATATAAACTCAATCGGCTTTAATACGGACAACTGACTTTCAAGCTTAAAAGCCATTATTAAAGCAGCTGAAAAGCAAAGCAATTCAGCTAGTTGAGTAAAAAAACGGATGGCAATTAATGAGGAAATCAATTTAGCAATAATTAATGAGTTTTATTAATTTGCTTTCGGATTTTATTTCAAAGCTATTTATGTGGTATTAAGTTTTTTCTTTTTACAATCATTTATGCAAATTATTTTTATTGATTTTAAATAAGCCGATGATTTGACAAAAATTGATGAAATTGATGATGAATAAAAATAACCTTTAGTAATAGGTACCTATAAGTCCATTCAAGGCAATTATATTATATATCGTGTTGTGTAATATGTATGTACAGTTTAAGTAGGCTTTTCTCTGCATTTTATGTTCAAGGAGGAAGGGTTCCACTTTTATAGTTCGCTGTTTATTATTTTTGAATTTATTTTTGGCTGGCCTTTTTGACCTTTGCTTTCCTTCGAACAGTCTGAGTCAGGTTTATTTTTTGGGAGCCTCCTAGTTCATGTCCGCCCCAAGAAATCCCCACAATGGAGTCACGCACAACCGATACTTGAGAAATGTTATCAAGTGAACCATAAACATTTTTTGCACTTAAAAATTTCCAACTCAATTTTCGCCTCGGCGATAAGCGTACACAACCCGCACATTCGCACATACCACATGTAATTGTATTGATGAAAACGTTATTTACAGCAATCAACAGTCAATATGTGTCTGGCCTTGGTGATTGTGTGGGTGTCTGTGTGTGTGTTGGTGTGTGGATATAGGACTGGCGGATGTGAGTGTGCTCCTGTGCCTTTTCCGTATCCGCTCCTTTCCGATTTCGGGTTTTTCTTCTGCGATGTGTCTGTCATCATATCAATTACACCCAAGAGCATGCCAATTTATTTGCCAAGTGTTTCCACAGCCAATTGAAAGCGGCGTTCGCCGAACGCGGATGTGAAGTTTCGAGCACGACTGGCTCCACACTTAAAGCATTCAAACTTGGTGCTTCCTAATTCGGGTTCAATAGGCGGGATTACCCAAAAGGATACTCGAATAAAATGCAAGGTATTCCTTTAAAAAGCTTCACAAGATTTAAAGCTTACTGGCCATAACCACAACAAGTTTAGGTCAAAGGATAAAGTTTTTCCACTTTATTAGTTTAGCTGACAGTTACAAAGTATTTTTACAGCAAAGATAAATCAACAAGAATAAACTTAATCAAATAAAAAGTTGTCTTACAATTTGAACAAAGGAGATTTAAAATTACAGAATTATTGCCCACTAGGGAATTCTGAAAAATGCCAAACATAGCAGTGGCAGTAAATCAAAAGAAAGAAAACTAAGAGAAGCGAATATTAAGTATACGACTAGTTGAATTTGTGTACTTGTAAAATAAGTAAAATTTGTCTTTGTTTAAAAGGTTGTTATGTTTTTAGCTATTGAAATTAAAAATTAACATCCAAACCATTTCCAAAACTAAAACAAACATCACCTTTCAAACATAAAAAGTCTCACTGCTAACTGTTTGCAATTTGACTAATTTATTGCAAGTCCTTCGCTCAGGAAGGACTCTACCCTTTGGCCGACAAATGAGCCAACTTCCGGTGGCCGCAATTTGCCAGCTGTACGACAATTGGAAATGGGCTTTGGTCAAAAGAGGATATTGCAGACGTGTGGTTGGGTCCCTGCCCGAAAGGACTCGATTTCCGCCCTCGAAAGTCGGTCCCTTTTGCCTGCCGCACTGTTGGCCATCTTTGTGCCACCTCAAGCACATTGCGGTCAGCCGCAAGTTGCAGTTGTCTGTGCGCAGTGGGCGACACTTTAAAATTAACTTCACAGGGGATTCATCCAACTTTAATGCCACCGCCCACACACACACAGACACTCAGACACTTTCACATGCACATCAACAAGCTGATTAATCGACGACTGTCGTCCGTGGGACGCCTGACATTTAGGCCCACTTTGGCCGCCCCCTCGGTGTCCTAATGAGCCGTAAAGGATTCTCGTCCACCCACAGCCACCCATCCTGTCAGGGCCAATTTGCATACCATTTCGACTGGCATCTTTAGTCGACTGGGTGCACAAGGGAAAAAATAGCAGGAAAGGTCATCCTTTGTGTACTTTACATATCGAATAATATTCCATTTATGGCACCTAATTATAATAACGTCATCAAGTGAAATGTTTGGCATTTAAGTTTTACATTTCAAGAGTTCATTATTTATGCAACTGTCATCAATATCCAGCTTCAGTTGTACAGTTAAAATAAAACTAAAATGTTATGAAGAATAATAAAAAATTTAAAGATGGAACGTTTGAGATTCTCGATACATCAAAAAATGATAACTAGAAATGTTTTATTCTCTAAATATTTTCAGCGGTAACTCTTTCGTTAAAAACTTTAATACCTAATATTATAAAAACATGAATATAATACCAACATTTTAGTGCTGATTTTTTCCCTGTGCACCTGAGCGCAACAAGATGTTTTGATTGAAAATGCCAGCTAGACCAAACCACACACCCACACATACTCACACACTCGCACACACAAATCCTGCACTCACACACACTCGCAGCTGAGGCTGTTTAGCATAAATTTGTAAGCTTGTAAACCCGGAATTTGTGATTCTGACTGTTTGCAGAGGAAACCACTGGCCTGCCGGAGGCCGACTCCCACATCGGAACTGCTTCGATTCGGGGCCTTCGAGTAGCCGGGCTAAAACTGCAGGCAAATGGCACGTACTTTAACCAATCCTTACCAAATAAGGCTTGCTCCTTTCTGGCTGCTTATGCCGCTTTCGCTGCTGCTGATATAATCGCTGCTAATTGCATCAATTATTGGCCGAGCCTTTGCGCAATTTATGAGAACAAAAGCTAAATTGAAATCGAAAACAAAATTGCCTAACCGATTAATCAAACTGATTTCATTCCACTGAACTGAACAGTAATCGGGAATTCACTCTTGCAGAGCCTTAGTAAATATCACAAATATATTGAGTCGATAATGGCTCATTTCTCGGGCTGGACGAACATCAAAATGTAATTTACCACAAATGTTGCGCAAACATCAATTATCCCTAATTGACTGTGAACGTGAAATTAACGTTTATAATTATGTGACAGAACCGCTGGAGCGGAAGTCCGAGTTCCAGTCGGTGGGAACCCGTGTACGCAGCCATGTAACTTTTAATGTCCTTTCCCAGGATCCAAAGGGGGCGGGCCAGGCAATCTGGCATTCTGCGACTGTCACCTGCCAAGGTCCTCGCTTAAGCCGCCAAGATAGGGTGCCCCGAAAGCTTAGCCTTTGGCCAAAACTTTGAGGTTAACCCGAGTCGGGGTCCCAGGACCCCGGAGAGGTTTATTGAGTGCCAGGCAATAAATTACCAAAAGGGGCGTGGCCGCGGCAAGTTCGTGCGCGAAAAAGCCCACTTGGAACTTCACGGTGCCATTGACCCCCGGCTGAAGCCAACGCAAGGTTCTATTTCGGGTGACAAGCCCTTTGTGAGTCACTAAAACGACGTGATAAAAATACTTAAGGTTTTAATAGCTTTCTGATTAGTCTGTTTAATGACTTGCCCTTCTAAAATGCAAAGGGATATGCTTTCTTAAAAACCTCAGTCAAGTTCTTGAATTAAGGTAAGGTATTTATTTTATTATGCTTTATTATTCGTTGCTTTTTACATATTTTAAATTTATGAAATGTCATAAACTATTTTTATCCCAATGTTAAAAAGTTTAATCCCAGATTAACATATAAGCATATGCATTAAAATGACAGAGACGATTATTTGCTCAGCTCTCGTTTTTTGCCATCCTGCTGTTATTTCTCAGAACCGCCGGGGGGCTATAAAAATTGCAAATTACCCAGTTGCCAGCGGGCGTCTGCTAAGCGGGCCACCCGGTCTGGCTCTTCAATTATTTAAGCTAATTGCGGGCGCACTCCGAAAACCAGCAGACCACTCGGCGTATACGCAATGCTAATTTTACGCAAATGGTCGAGGGATTTTCAAATTTTATACGACCTGAAGGAGGCGTCTGTAAGCCAGTAATTGAATTGACCAACCAAAGATGATGGGTTTTTTGCGGGTTGGAGAAAGTAAAATCAGGTTAGAAGGAAGACACTTGCAACAAGCGAAGATCCCATAAGTGAAAATTCTATAAGCCCCTGGAATTTCCCCCAAAAGCACACACACGCACACCCACAAATTTGGTTAATGTTGTTGTTACTGTTATTATTCTTTGCTCTTTCTCTCTCAAAAAAAACGAAGGAAACTGAAAATTCACCGAAACCAGAAATTGGAATTTCAGCCACCGCTTTTCTTTTCCTATTTTCCCGCTCTTTTGTTGGTGTTATGGCTGATTGTTGTTGCCCTTCTCCTAGTTTTTCCACCACTTTCATTGTTTTGTTGTTTTCAATCATGCATTTTGCTTTGACTTTTACTGCACCCGGAAAAAAAGCCTGGGGAAAATAAAAGAAAATCAAAGGGGCGAAATCTGCCAGCAAAGCCGCAACTGTTTTGGTCTCTCTTGTTATTGTTGTTGTTGACCACCCACCACGTACCCACGCCCAGTTTTTTCAGTCTCCTGGTGTTGTTGTTATTGTTGCTCTGGCTGTGCATTGTTGTTGTTGTCGTTTCGCTTTGTTGCTTTGTTGTTGCAGCGGCTGCTGCGTTGAAACGGCAATTTTGTTTACAGCCACACTCACACCCAAAAAAGAAAAAAAGAAAAGAAAAGAAAAGAAAAACACCCAAACGTATCCGGAAACACTGCCTGCAAATTGTATGCAAACACTCTAGACGAAATAAGACAACAAAATGTTAATTAAATGCTTTTCTCTCGCCTCTCTACTTTTCCAACCCATTTTCCGTTTCTGCTTTTTGCCGTTGTCTTCCTTTTGACTTTCCTAAATTTAATTGTTGTTTTTTCTATCTTAATCTCGCCTATTTTACTATCTTAAACCTTTTTCTGCCTGATTTTAATCTGTCTTGTACCCTTTTCATAATTTTTTTGCTTACGTTCTTTTGAATGTGATCTTATTTCTTATTGTTTTTCTCTCTTTTCTTTAATGTTCCTAAATATGTTTTACTATACATAATAACTTTGTTTTCCGGTTATTAAAACTGTTTGTTATTTTCAATCCTTTTATTTTTATCTTAAATATTTTGTTTTTTTTCTTAATTTCTTATTTTTTTCTGTATAACAGTGCCATGTGGCCGCTGCAATGGTGGCAGCCTCCACCTCCTTCGGCTACCACTCGGTGAACCAGGTCGACAGGACGCTCATGTGACGGCAGCTGAGCAGTTGCAGCACCTGCAGCGGTGGCAGCAACTGCGGTGGCTCGCGCTCCGCCTACCACCAGCACCACTCCTCGGGAACGGCCACGCCCTCGTCCTCGCAGCGATCCTGCACCCGTTGCCAGAGCTTCCATCGCCACCACCATCGTTCCAGGCGCCGCAGCTCGGGGATGCAGTTGCGCGGCGACTACAACTCCACCACGGCGGTGAACAGCAGTGCGCTGGCCAAGACAATCGTGACGATCAGTGCCCCGCCGGTGGCCGCCGCCTCGGCCAGTTCCCTGCACCTGGGAGCAGGGGGAAGACCCTCCTCGGTGTCCACCTTGACGATTGCCTCGGTGCCACCCACTTTGAGTGGAGCAGGAGGATCCGTGAGTGGCGCCAACACCCCACTGGCGCCCAGCTTGAAAGCCTTGACTCCGGGACCCTCGAACTCATCGGGTCACCATGTGTCCTTCATGCCCATGACGGGAATGAAACGATTGCGCAGCTCCAACGCCTCGCTGGGATCACCGAACGGAACCATTGTTGGTGGAGCTGGAGTGGCGGATACCACTTCCGCTCCCTCGCTAATCGATGCGGTGGAGGATCCGCTCCCCATGAGGAACCACCACAGGATCCTGGAGCAGTGCCAGAGTGTCCAGAGTCAAATCACGACACTGGGCGACGTGGAGGACGACGAGGAAGGCAGCGACAGCGAAAGCGATAGCATCGGAATCGCTTTGGTGGAGACCACGCCCCAACTGGAGAGCCAGCCGGTGGAGCCATCGAGTTCCTCCAGCTCCTCGGTCAAGTAAACTCAGCCCCACAACCACAAAGCAAAGTCCTGGCATTAAGTTTAAGATAAAAACATATATAGCATAGTTCGTGGTACAAAATATGAGGGGTGATAAAAAATCTGTGGACAGTTTTAAAACTTGCTTGTTTTAAGGTTTCAAAGATCCAAAAGTGTTTATATAAATTATTTCCATGCTTTTTTAATGAAAGGAAATTAAGCTTCAACCCATGAAATTACTATTTGCTAAAAGTGTGTTATTATAGAAAGGGAAAGTTCCACTTCCATTATAGTTTTTACTGAAAATCGCCCTGAACTGTCCATTGATTTTTTGCCTCCCCGAAGTGCAGCCCATCTGAAGTGTGTACATAGCAATCTAGTCTCGCCTAGCCACTCATTAGCTTATCGATCGGTGATAGAACACTATGCAACAAGCAATCAATTCAATATCGCTGCCTGCTCTCCGGGTTTCAGTCACTGGCGGTGGTTGCATAGTGGGAATTAGTATTACTGTTAGCTGTCATATCTTAGATCTTCCATTACGTAGATGTATTCAGTTCTGTAAATGTCTCAAAGGTCTAGCAATTGAATTGAAAGCTACGTCTTCAACCTGTCCAAGTACCTGACTCTCTCGAACCCAAAGTCTATATTAATCTGTACATAGCTTAACTTCAACTTCTGCTATCGCTCGAACTAGCTTTCTGTTACTCGACACTTGATTGAATGTTATCAACTGAAATTAACTCTACGGGTGCAATATGAATTTATAGCAACTAAACATAGGACTCGAACAATCAGGCAAACAGGCTTCAAGACCACTTCCCAGTTGTAGGAGATTCAAGTACAAAATCACAGAAGCACTCGCAAATTGTCAGATAATTACTCCCATCCTCCATTATGTTCTTTGAACTATAGCAATACAGATAGAGTGAATGTTAAATGTGCTTCAGACAGCCGAAAGTTGGAGAATTCATGGCGGCAGCTTAATGAATTAATCCTTCAAAGGGTTCGCCCCCACAATTCTGTAATATTACATGTATGTATGCCCTTAATGGGCGAGCTCATCCGACTCCGATTTTGCAATAATTAATGTGTGCAATTAGGATTGATTTCTCCGACCGCAAGGCCAGAGAATAAATTGAGGCTAAGAAAGGGGTTTTGTGGAGCAAAAACCGTTGAGGAAAACTAATAACAATGGCGAGACGTCAGCTTAGTGGATGAGTAGGAACAAATCATCGCAACCGTCGAGGAAATGGAAAAATGTTGCTCATTGTTTTCAAAACAAACAAAGCGAAGTAGAAAATGATGGAAAGTCTGGGGGGAAAACAGAGGCAGCGGCAAAACCAAACAAATGGCAATTATTAATATTGAATATGGTAGCGCATAAGTGACATACATAGCTCATAGAGTCCTCGTTGTGTCTGTGTATTGGTGTGCATGCATGTCTAGTCCTAAGTGTACATGTAAATGCATTATCCCTAAGTTCCAGTGCTAGATTGGCAACAAAAGCTGCTAACTTGAACTCAAACTCAATTGATTGCCATGCATATTAGGCTAAGCTGCAACTGCAAACTGCAAACCTAGATTTATATATTGAGTGTACTATACTGTAACTAACATATACAACTACGCAAGGAGATTAAAAAGCGACAACTAAGAAGTGAACTCCGACGATGACTTTGTCTTATTTAAATTTCAGCCCGGGCACTGAGGGAATCTTTGCGGATTTGCGGTTTTCCAGGGGCTTAAAGGATGGATATCCGGGGCTGGGAAATGGCATGAGTTGCCACACTTGATGCCTGATGGCTGATGGCCAGCCGAGCAAGAAGACAAAGTGCACTGCCAGTCGGCAAACAACTGTGCAAAAAGTTTACACTTTACATTTTCGGATCATGGCCCCCGACCCTTCGACCGAACCTTCAGAGGGGTAAGTATGCCAGTCAGCCAGTCAGTCAGTCGGTGGGAAAAAAGAATATGGCCAAGATGGATAGACAGCTGCAAGAGTTGCAGTCAGCAAAGTGCGAAAGTGCGATGCAACGCATCTTAAACAACTCTCCGGGGGCAGCTAGCATGTGTGTCAGATTTTCCCTCTTTTTTCCCCGCCATTTTCCCTCGGTTCCTTGGGTCCTTTTCAGCGGAAGGATACCATCCCTTGTGGAAAGTGTCCGCAGTAACAATGTGGGGACAAAACGTGCTGCGTGTATCGACTCACTAATGAGAAAATGAAGGAGAAACCAGCGCGGAACTACGCAGATACAGCGCACTAATGACCCACAGTCGAACCCAGAGATACAAATGGAGATAGAAATACACAGATTGATACACAGATACAAAGGACCTGCTTTGTCCAACGCCATTAGCTTCACTGCGGAAAAAAAAAGAGAAAAGTGAATTTTTTTTATTGAAAATAAGTAACATTTACAGGTGGTTTTTAAAAGCAAGTAAGTATTTGAAGTAAGTAATCCACAAATATAAAAAACAAAACAAAATAAATGCTTATATTTCTGAAAACAAGGGTGTAACTACAAGTATTTTAATAAAAAGAATAAGTAAGTAGAAAAAAAGTAAAAGAAATAATTAGAAATAAAATACCCTATTTCTTTTCTATGTTAGTAACTTTATTTCTTTCAGTACTTGGGGTTTACTTTTAGTTGGCAATCTGCGACTTCCACACCTTCAATTGCCCGCTAAACTTTGTTGTGCCACCGCTGTTAAAGTGCGGAAAGGAGGTTGCCGCACATCAACGTTCCGCTCCAGATGTATGTAGCAAGTATATAGGACATCTGCAGTTGTGAATGCAGCGAGTCCTTGCCCGTAATCAGCCAAATAACGACTGCCAAAATGGTGGATAAGCGTGGAGCTAATAAAAAGAGGAAACGTTGCAAGCTGCATACAATAAGCTGCGACCAGAGCTCATCCTTCAGGGAGGTCCTTGCCCCCAGTACACCCCCTACTTTGGCCGTCCCTTTCAGCTTATCACTGGAGTTGAAGGCTGCGTCAAACCCTCGACGACATTTTATTTGCTCGCTGGTAATTTTGTTTCCGTTAGCTACTAGTGTTTTTTCCCCATCCTTAGACTTTTGGCGCCTCCCTCAGCTATCTCGTCCTTTTGCCTCCTTTGTTGGGTTTGGTTAATGAACCGAAATGCGTGTTTGTCTCCCACGATTCGGGTTTGTATTTTGTGGCATTTCGACTGGAGTTGCTCTGCGCTGTTCAGGTCCCGCCACAACCCCCCTTCGCTCGTCCTGATCCTTTTAGCCCGAATGGTGGCGAAATTGTGTTGCCCCAAATATGTATTGCAATCATTGTTTTGATGACTTTGTTGCTGGGCAAAGTCAAATTCGCGTCTCCGGAGGAACGGATAAAGGGGAATTTCATTCGGTTGTTTGGATTATTGCTCAAAGCTTATGTTCTGGAATCGGATTCTATTTATGGCCGTGTCTTTTGTATGTGGCTGACTCACACACACACACACACACACACGCAATTACAAAATCGCTGTCTGGCATTTCCGCTTCGCCAACTTGTAATGTCTTTAATTATACACAAATACGTAGGTCTGTCCTCGGGGCATCAGCATCAATATTTTGGATGACTGATAACATGTGTTTATATAAAATAGGTCATAAAAATCGGTTTTCACTCTTGAATAAAAATTAAATTACTTTATGTAAGGGTATAAAAGCTTTCTGTTTTACAACTTATTCAAAATTCACATGAACTTATTGTTTTAAAACAAAACCCATTCTGATATAAATATATTTTAACCGATGCATTCCCAGAAGTGTAACTAAAAACCCTCATTAAACAGCGGAAACCCGTCATTTCCTCTGAATATTAATACGACCGCACAGGCCATCGTAAAATCGATGTACAACATGGCCACAAATGAATGCCATAATGAAATCAAAACTCACTTACTCCCACATCGAAAAACCGCAATGGTTAAAAAGTCACAATGTTGTGCTCAAATTTGCCATGAGCAGTAAAAAGTTGCCCCGACTCTCTGATTACTTTTTCTTTATTTTCTGGAGTGTGTGTTTTACCATTTTATGAATTTTTCAGGCTCAACTTATTTAAACATCATGTCGCTGCTTGTGTTAACAGCGATTGTGATTTATCGCATTCGCAATGTGAAATATTAATGCAAATCCTTCGGAAAGCGTGGAATCGGGAAGGATGCTTTGAATATGCAGGGGGAAATTAGTGGTTCCATCGGCGAGCTGCCGTTCTCTTTATTGACCCTTAAAAGCCGCTAATGAAATCAATATAGCTGCTCTAAACAATTCCTCCGGAGAAGAGCGCATAAAAATGCTAAATAAATTGATGAACTGCGGCAGGACGCAGTCCGGAAAAGTGGATGGAAATGGTGGGAGGGGATGGGGAAAACTGAAGGAAGAACGGCTCGAGGATGACGAGATGGATGGCTGCCTGGCTGACTGCCTTTTGTCGTAAAAGGCGCCGTTCCCTTCCTGTTGTAAAAATGCGACCGGACGACCCTTTCATTGTGCTACGATTTAGAAACCGGCGACTTTTAGGAGGTTTCTGATGGGCCAACGGGGCACTTGCAATCGCCTTGGCCAAGTTCTATGTGGGGGCGTGGCTGGAGCCCAAATTGTATAAGTATAAATATAAATATAAACGACATTAAAGCGCGTCTGGAAATAAAACAAACAGCAACTCGAAACCAATGAACTGAGCAGCGATCCTTCTGCCTCCGTCGCCCAGATATAAAGGCCCACCTGATGTGGCAACTCAAGCGGAGCTTCATTGTGCTCCATGTTCCCGGTTCATTTTTCCATATCTCTACACAATGGCCCAGCTATTTTTGTAGGATCCGCGAGGGGGCGGTTTAGGGGGTGTGGCAGCAGGACCCCTGGCAATTTGCCATTGTGCGTTTATATTTAACCATTTATTAATATATGTGAGCAGCAATGACAATGTCCTCGACATAAGTCCTTGTTATTTGGGAGTCAAGAAATGAACAGCCCACGAAAAAATAGAAATACGGTTGGACTTCGATAAAATGGAAATACTTAGGAGTGTTTTTTATATATTTTTATGACTAAAGTAATAAAACAGATAACTGGTTAGATAGTATACAGTAAGTTATGGCTACATCTTTGAAATATTTTATGACTTACGGACCTATCACTGTTTTTTTGAAAAACTGTAAAAAGCTCTCAACGACGTGTCAATGGCAAAGGTTCAAAGTTTGGGTCTGGCGTGGGTGATCCTTTTCACAACGGAGGGGTTATTGTTATTGAAGTTGATGGCCCCGGTGTCCTGACGGCTGTGATGGCAACACATTGTTCTAAATATCTAATGGCGCCCAAAACAGGGTATTTGCAATTGAAGCGTGAATTTACCCAGCCCAATTCCAGCTGCGTGAACAATTTCCACAATTTCCACAACGAAGAAAATAAAAAAGCTCCGAAAAAATGATATCTGCAAACTCCAAGCTGTCGATAGAGATATGAAGTTTAGTTCGCAGAAGGAGTCGAAGGAGCCGAAGGACCAGAAGGATATGCAGCGAAGCAGGCTAAATGACATCAGTGGATTATCGCCGACATCGGGGGGAGCATAAACCAAGCAATTTCCTGCCATAGTCCCCCTATATCCTTTTCCCTTTGTGCGGAATAAAAAATTGAATAAAACACACACAGAGGACTCGACTCGACAAGCATGTGTGCATGTGTGAGTGGAGGGAAACAAAAGGATGAAATATCGCAGAAAAACACAACGCACAACAGGCGCCCCTCTAAAGTGTCGAAGTTTGAGGCCAGCACGTAAATTCGCGTTATCCTTGGGCTGACCTTGACTGACGACAGGACAGCGCAGGCAGAAGCGGCGAGTGCGACTTCCAGTGCTTTAGCCTTCACATTGCCGGCGAAGGCCCCGCAAATTCTTTCGCCTCTCGGCTTGAGAGTATATGTTAAATAACTTCACGCACTCACGCAGACATGCACTGAGCATTATTTTATAAACATTCATTATTTTATATGAATTATTTTATCTTAGTTCTTTACTAACTATTTTATTCAAATAATTTAGTTCAGCCATTCAAGAAGGATGTACAAGAAATTTAAAGGGTACTGAAATCACTTTTAAATGTAGTGAAACGTATTAAAGAATCTCAAAGTAAAAAAGGTTTTTATTATTTAAGCTTAAAAATTAAAAACTATTTTTACAAAACCTTTACTTATTTTTCACAGTGTTGAAAAAACAGCGAGATTGAGGGCTGGCTGCTGTGTATGAATGCAAGTACAAATTACAGGCTCATTCAGTTGGCCAAAAGGCGGAGGCTCTCGCTGTGGGGGGCGGTGGGTGTTGGGCGGAAGGATGGGGGCGTGTCCCGGCAGCGGAAAACATGAGTCGCGCTGCCTTCGCGGACCATTGGGCCGCTCTGCTCGAGCCCCCGCTGTTGCAGTTGGCCTTCAGCGGCATTTACACGTAGCGAGCATGTCCTGTGCCAACAACAACAACTATAGCAACAGCAACAACAAGAACAAACAGCCAGGACTACTGGGATGATGAGCCACAAGCTTACCATCGACTTTGACACTGGTAGTTGTCGCATTTCCCCGCCACGCCCCCTTTTCCGGTGGCTCGTAAAACTCTCCGTTTCCACACTAAATT